AAAAAACTTTAGGTTAGTCGTAACCCCGGTTCTCTGAGTAACATGAGTGAGATGTCTCACTATGGGGTACGCCCCTCAGCGGATTCCCCAGAAGCACTTATCTCAGTACACCAATCCTGATTGGCCAGTGACCGTGACGTACGCGTCACCTGCTACTATAAGTAGCAAGCGTCCCAACGCACGCACCATTCAAGATAAACACCTCTTCTCGCTTCGCCCAGCAAGAAGGGTTGTCTGGTGAGACCGGCTGGGCGGTGCCAGGGTTTGTGCCTTGGGGCTTGGGTGGTGTGTGTGAATGATCTGGCGGGGGGTCCTGCTGACCCCGGGTCGGCAGGACCTAAGTCATGCGTCTCGTTGTTGGACGCAGGCAGGGGCGCAGTGCTCTCTGGGTGAGTGGGAGGGGTGACTGGGTGAAGGCACGGAGAAAGCGCCGGTTGCGCAGGGCGAGGCGGCCAGACCCATCGACCCTGATGCGGTATTGGTCGTGTCCTAGTGACTCTACTACTACCCCAGATCTGTCCCATGCCCACGGGCTATGGCCAACTAGGTTCTGATGGAACACCACCTCCCCGACTACGAGAGGGCGGAGCGGTCGTGTGTGCTCTCTCAGAGACTCAGTGGTGCGGGCCGTCCGAGTCCGGAGGGCCTCTTCCTTCGCCGCCCATGCCTGACGCCAGAGCGGACAGATGTGAGGGTTGGAGAACTTCTCCAGCCTATTAACAAATGACAGCAAGTCCCTGAGGGGGCGACCAAAGATGATTTGCGTGGGCGACAGGTCGCAGTCGGGGTCAGACGTATTACGCAGTTGCAACATCGCACGCAGAAAGCGGTCATGTTCGAGGCTCCCGGTCGGGCCGGTGTTTGAGACTAGTAGGCGCTTTGCCATCTTGACAGCCACCTCCACCCTTCCATTAGACTGGGGGAACCCAACCGACGACACACGGTGCTTGACCTGCTATAAGCGGAGGAAGTCCGCTGTGCGCCCTGCCCTGCCAAGGCCTCCCCCTCAGTAGAGGCGTATCACTGCTCAGCAGAGGAGAGAAAGCGTGAGCCGGCCAGAGTAATTTTCCATCCATCCGGACAGCAGCCGGGGACACCGGAGCTGCAGGTGCAGTGCTGCTGGAGGAGGAAGTATCCAATGCCGCGCCTGGACCAGTCTGGGTGGAGACAAGTGCACCTCTCCATGTCGTAGATCTCTACGCCTGCCCGGATAGAGTCCACAATGGCCAGCTTGGATGCCTGAAATGCTGCCTCTAACTCGGGTGACCACACAAATTTGCATTGAGGGCTCAGAAAGGGCTTAAATGGCGCCATTATATCACACAGCTGCGCATAGTTGGCCACCTGATTAACCAGACCAAACCAGCTCCTGATGTCCGTGGTCGAGGTAGGCGTGGGGAAGTCCCTGATGGCCGTCAGGTACTTTGGGAGGGGCTCAGTGGTAGCATCGGAGACCCTGAATCGGGCAAAATCAACGTCCCTCTCGGCAAATTGAAACTTAGATGGGTTCAACACAATGCCGGATCGGCCAACGTGCGTCAGGAAGTCGATTGTTCTCCACCAATGCGTTTTAAGGTCGGTGTCATAGTGGATGGTGTCATCCACGCACCTTTCCTTCCGTTCAAAGTCGGAGAGGATCGCATCAAAGTGGCGATTGTAGCCATCGCCAGACGACAGAAAGCCCTGTGGGGCTCTGGTGTACTGCCAGCGGCTGAAGGGAGTGATGAAGGTAGTGAGATGACGGTCTGACTCACACAAGAGCATGCTGTGATACCCATTCCAGGCATCAGTGACAGTCTTCCAGGTCCCTTTCGGGATCCGGCACACCAGGTGGAATGGGGACTTGGTTGCGAAAGTCTCCCGTTTGCAGAACTTGTTAAGAGGTGACATATTGACGGTTCTGCGGGGGGTTCTGTCGTGCTTCCAGGTGACCACCATCCGGTGGCACCAGGTCACTGGTTCGCCATACAGGACGCGTTCGATGACGCCCAGGGACTCGTCCTGAAGTAGGTCGTCATGCACCCTCTGTTGCCAATGCAAAGGCAAGGCCACCGCGGTGTGGCACGTCTTTGGCATTGCCGCCGGGTCAACGTGTATTTCTATGGGTGGACCTTCCATGCATGGTAGTGGCCGATGGGGGCAAGTGTTGAATGTTGAAGATGCGTACCTGTCAAGCAGCCACGCCTTCATCCGGTGATTATTCTCGGGGGATCATGGGAACGGCAGCTCCACGGGGCGCCGAGGTGAGACACTGCGTTGAGGACATGAGCAACAAGCCACATGATGGGAAGCCATGCCTCCGTCGCAGACTTCCCCCAAGCACGTGACTTTGGTGAGCCCACCACAATGGCTGGCAGCTTCAAGGTCACGGCCCACTGCCGAGTTGCCCTCACCCATGCAGGATGGAACCCCACTAGGCAGAAGGCCGAGGCTGAGCAGGGAGTCATACAAGAGGTACATTGCGTGAACTGACCTGCTTACATATATCATTGTGCGGCAGGACACCACCTCACCACAAGGGGCAGCAGTGGATAGCTTGGCAAAGAAGGCGCCCTCAATTTCAATGGGGGAGCTGTTAGCCACTGATAGGTTTAGGACCACCGGGTGGAGGGTGCTGCGTACGAAACCGCCTCCAGAAACTCCTCCAGGGACCACAGGTCCGACTGAGCCCCCGTGTCTGCAATGGCGGACACGGTGGCCTCTGCAGCCGGGCATCTGGCACCGGCTCCACTAGTGAACCTCACCTTATTACCAACATGGATGGAGATAGGCACTCGGGGGTGGTCCCTGAGCTTTGTGCGCTGCCATTCGCCCTTGGAGAAGATGTGATGGCGGAGCCTGATCGGCGTGGGCCCATCACTGCAGTTATGCGTCCCCAAGGTGCGGGGTCGGTGCCTGTGTCTGCGGCGCCTATTAGAGCAGACGCTCGACGTGACGGATGAGACCTGAGATATCACGTCGTAGCCTACAGCAGCCTGTTGTCCGTCCATGTGTGGCTGCTGCCGTGCCCGTCTCTTCCGGGCCTGGAAGCAGTCGGCACACATTCGATGAGGCTTGGTGTTCCAATCTCGAGATCCCTCAGAAAAAACACAGAAAGACGCTTTACAATCAGGGCATATAGCCCTAGCAGACCTGTCTGGTGGGGCTGGAGAGGAAGCAGGCCCTGATGGTGGCATGGCTTGTCTGCTCCTGAACGAGGACATAGCTGACAGGCTGGAGGAGGGAGGAGCATGGGCTGAAGGCCAAAGCTAAGCAATGCGATAAAATAGGTAAACAAATGCAGCGCGGCTTAGCATGCATACTGACAATGTGACCATTACATTAGCTTAACAAGCAGGTGAAGACTTACAGATACAAGTCGAACAGTAGCATGGATAGACATAGACAGCAGCGTGTTGGCTGAGCAGCAGCAATACAAATGAGAAGCAGCAGTATGTACAGTCAGGGATAGTCACTTGTTCGTGACTTCAGGCACATCCCTGAATACACCCTTTTCCCTCGAGGTTTGATCACAGCACACCCTAGCGGCCAGTGGTGACCTCTACAGCATGCAAATGCAAGTGGAGAAGCCCAACTTGCTGCAGCACAAATCTACTGGACGGACAGCCCCCGAAAAAGGGCCCAAGAAGCAGACAGGCCCCTAGTAGAATGGGCCCTGAGCCCAACAGGTGCCTGAATGCCCTGACAGGAGTAAGCCAGAGAAATAGCCTCCACAATCCAGTGGGAAAGCTGATGAGTGGTGTGAAATTTGGAGGTGGGATGATTATGTAATCAGTGCTACTGGGATGTTACTAAAATTCTGTTCATGTTGATGATATATAAATGTCGAATCCGTTTATCACAAACAAAAACATCTTCTTCATTCTGGCAGAGATGAGATACATTTTCAGTTCAACTCTAAAGCAATCGACGAGGTACAATACTTTCGTTAAAGGTATTGTGGAGCAGTTTCTTGATCCAAAGTCTTTCTTTGTGGTTTCCTGACAGAACTTGGTGTGTTCCTGTTGAACAGGAAAGTTGCAACTGATGTAGCAGCTTTGGAGAACGTCCGCCTGATTTATCTGATTAGCACTTCCTAAGCCTTGCAGCTCAACCTTCAGCATATGTTTTCACTCCCAAGCCCTTAGGCTTTTACTCTACGTCACTTGTACTTGCTTACTGAGAAACAATCAGCTAAATTAGTCCAAAGTAACTAATACCAATCCTGACCAGTAGCTGAGACCGGACCGGAACCATTTAGAGCTGACTGGGTTTCTATAGAACAGGATCCGATACATTCAAATTAAAATATCAAAAGATGTTCAATGAAATAAAATAACATAATCTCATAAATACTATCTATACACATTTAAGATAGAACTGATCGATCCCCAGTGAGTCGTGGAGGATGGCTGCTTATACTGAGCCAGGATTCTCTGGAGGTTTCTTCCTGTTAAAAGGGAGTTTTCTTCTCCACTGTCGCTTTATGCTTGCTTGGCATGAGGATTGCTGTAAAGTCACTGACACTAGTCAGTGACTTGATGCAATTTGCTGGGTTCCTTATATAGGAAACATTATTTCTGATTGGCTTAATGAACTGACCTGAATTGGAATTTTTATTATGTGAAGTGCCTTGAGATGACTCTTGTCGTGATTTGGCGCTATATATACTTCAATTGAATTGAATTGAACTTTATTTTTGCTAAAGCTCTTGTTAACATCTCGTCTGATGATATTTATGCTTCCGCTGCGTGTTCAAAACTGTGTTTAGTTTGAAATGAACTTTGTGCATTCTTAGCCTTGTTAAACCGTCAGTCATTGGAGCATAAATGCTGCCTGGCAACTTTGGGATCGCCACGCTTTATTTCTGACCCTGTCCTTATCCTGAAAAAGACTTTACCCGTTTCAGGTCAAAGCAAAGCAGATCATACGTGATGTCATTGTTCGTGTTGGCACATGCTTGTGCTGTTTAGGTATGACCTTTCACAGCAGATTTATAACAGTTCAGTGTTTGGTGAAAAGTCAAAGTCTCACGTCCTGCCATCAAACCATAAAAAAACAATACTGGTGTTTATGATCCAATTTCCCTGTATGAGAAAATTCAGGATTTCAGAAAACTGTAAAGCTCGCAGACACGAAACTCACAATAATTCTGGGGCTTCAGCGGACCTTCACCACCTCTTCTAGTGTCCGTGCAGAATTCTTGGCCTCGTATTTGTAAAACATCTCAACAGTGAACTTCTTAACTCGTTAGACTTTTTGGGGAATGAAGCACAGCTTTTCCATGCGGGATCTTTAGCACTAGAATCATTAATGATGTACATAAATAATAAAACCAAAAGAGGACTCCATAAAACATCAAGGGTAGGACAAACAACTTTCATTTTGGATGCTGAAACTACGTGAACTTGACATTGGGCGCTTGAAAAGCCGACTTTATCATTTTATTTGCTTCAACGCCTAACGGATCATGTTACCTTCTAATCATAAAATCAAATGATGCCCCTCATCGGCCCTCTTTATCATATGAGAGTCAGAACACTGACGTCACGTTTCTAGTAAACGCAGAAATCGTACTCACACAGACACCAGACGTAACCTTTAATGACTGTCTGCTTGTCTCCTGACCAATGAGTGTGCTGCTCCTACTCTGACCAGTGGCGCTGAATGCTCTCATAAAAGTTGCTTTATGGCGTGACTAAGACGAAGTGAGGCACCAATCAAACGTGGTACGGCAACCAGGCTTCTAAATATTGTGCATCAATCAGTTAGAATTAGTGACCAGCGGAAAATCGTCTCATCTCAAACTGATTTAAAATGTCAGGCAGCCTATAGACAACGAGGTTATCACCAGCTCACCGGGAGCCTCTGATTGAGTAGTTATTCATATTTATTAGGAATTTCTCTGCTTTGTATGCGGTGGGGTTTTAGGTCAAGGGGAGTCAAACAGCCAGGAGATTTAATGAACTAGTCACATAAAGACAGAAGTCGTCTGCCAGCTCCTTCTCTCCACCACCTGCTCCCCGGGGATGTCGCTCACATAACGGTCCACGCATCCACTTTAACGCCATTTGCAAAGTCTGTAAAAACGGTTAATCAAGCTAGAAAGCTGGTAAAACTTGACTGTCCTTGAATCGTTGGTCAGTGCTTTTCTCTTTTTATTGAGTCCATAATTCATCCGTAAGGATGTGCACGCTGCTGACGCCGTTGTGTTGATATGGAGAACTGGGCTACATCTACAGGTATATAACTCTGCTGGGACAAGTGCGCCGTGCAGAAGTCTTCAGAAGTCAGAGCCACTTCCCACATCCAACAGTTATGAAGTGCAGCCATCTCCTTTGTTGGGCGTTTCTGCTCTTGGCTTCTGGTCCACTGCTGGCACACCCCATCACAGAATCTGCTGAGATGCCTTATCAAGGAGCTTGTGAGTACCAGATAATATCCATGCTGTGGCTTGTACCTGATAATTCATCAAATGAGCATCCTTAAAAGCATTTTTTTGTCCCACTATTCAAGCTGTACTGCTCAGTGGCTGCACAGTAAAGTGTCGGGGCATGAGAAATGACCCGAGTGCTGCAGGATTCAACTGGCAGATTTCTAAAGTTCATATTTTATAGAATTTGGGTGTTCATATGTACAAAGTGTAAACAGGTGTGTGTTTGTTTTGTTGGTTTCACCAACTGTGTGGGTTTATCTGTTTGTTCCTAATCTTAGCGGAGGACCAGGGGATCGACACGCTGGGTCATCTGTCGCTATCAGAGCAAACGTTCCCTTTGCATGAAGGTGCAGGTCTCAGATATTCCACTTTTATATCTGGAGAAGTGAATCAAGATGGTAAGAAACACTGAGAGAAATTGCCAGATGGTTTAGTTCACATCAAGGCAACACTAGCGGTACTCTAAGCCACTAACTCCCAACCTGGAGTTCGTGACTCCGAAGGGGCTCCTCAAAAGATTCCAGGGGGTGACCACTGATTTGTATGTCCAGAGATTATGAGGTTGCCAAGATAATATTAAAAAACACACATTTATAAAGCCCCAATAACAGACCCAGTAACTTTGTGTGTGTATAAAGTTTGTAATTAATCACTTTTAATGTATTTCTGAGGGTAGGAAATGGGGTGGGGGGCATGGCTCGTCTTGGACACAGGCAAAGGCGGTCCTTGTGGGAAAAACGTTCGGAGCTGCTGCTCTAAGGCATTTGGTGCATTCACATCTGGGTTGGCCTGGTCTAGCCCTGGCAGGGTAACTGTGTTCACATCTGGGTACTCTGTGTGTTTTCTGTGCTCAGCCGACCGTTTTTTTTCCCCAGACTTGCTCTTTGGTGGTCAGCAGGGTACTGAGCTGACCCAACACACCCACTAGCGACTGATTGGCCATCTGAAGTTCAAGCCTACCTACTGGGAGCCTCTGATTGGCAAGTAGAATCAGCCAGCGGTGACTTCACGCATGCACGATTCACTATCAGTCTGGATGCAGTGGAGGAAACATCTCCGACTGCAGCTCCAGCCGTGGGAGAACGAAGACAGACAGCTGTGAGAGGAGCCCACAGCAGCAGTGCTGCTCAGAGAGAGAGTAGGAAGCTGTGTGCTTCATGTCAGACTCCAAAAGCAACACTGCTCACAGACACATTTGTTTACTAACTTAAGGAGGACAGCATGGACTTCCCCATGTGTCTTTTGCCCCAACGTGTTTGGAGACATCTGCGTTCCTGAGAAGGCGGTGTGCGGGGGCGGGCGGATCCAACCAAGACCGGACTGGGCTGACCCAGATGTGAATGCACCATTTGGTTTCCAGAGTCAGGGTGGAGACTCCTCTGTGTGTGTGTGTGTGTGTGTGTGTGTGTGTGTGTGTGTGGGGGGGGGGGGGGGGGGTTTGTGTTAATATTCTCTAAAAAATCTGAATAACTTTTCAAATGACTGTCGGCGTCATTTTGAACATTAACCCTTCATGAATGTGAAGTGTACGTCAGCATGCGAGGTTATTGTTCTAAATTCTTCTCATTCTTTAGTCTTAAGGTTAGAGCGATTCTAAAATGGCAGTAATTCATTTTGGAAGCCATTAGCTTGTTGATCCACTTAGAAGTAATCTCCGTTTTATTAAACGGAGGTTGTTCAAAAGTTTACAAACTCATTTTCAAAGAGATTGAGTGAATACTACTGTTTATTATCCTGGTGCCATGAGGAACCTGGCCAGAACAACATGCTAACACGATCTGATGTTTCATCATCTTTCAGGTGTTGGAAACACAAGTCTGCAGCCAAGGGGGATCAAAAGACAGGCGAGTTTTAGAAAATTGTCATTCCAATTGAAAAGATAATTCTTAAACTATAAATTACACCCTGTTACTGTCTTGTTTTTCATAGAACTGATGTTTATTTTTCATTTAGGTCTTATTGGACAAGCAAAGTCTGTTAAATCCATTCAGCCACATGCTGGCTACCCGGAAACAGTTCAGGAAGAGAGACGGGAACTCTGAGTGTTTCTGGAAGTACTGTGTCTAATAAAAAATCACATTAGCACTCTACTAGAACTCTCTCTCTCTCTCACACACACACACACACACACACACACACACACACGCACGCACGCACGCACGCACGCACACACACACACACACACACACTCACACACACACACACACACACACACACACACACACACACACACACACACACACACACACACACACACACACACACACACACACACACACACACACACAGAAAAAAACCTAGCCAATGTGAGTTTTCCTCTGATTTAGTTGTCGGTTTGAAGTTTATTACGTGTTAAAATCCTTGTTTTTTTCACGTATGAACAAAATGTATTTAAGATGCAAAAATCAAAGGATTTAAAACCCCGTAGAAATAAAAACTGTATTACATAAAAACAATTTCTCTGCAGTTGTCTTCATTAATAAATGATGTGAGAAACATGTCGGCAGTAGAAACCATCACTAAACGTAAGGAAGGAAGCAAAAAAACATCCAAATTGATTCTGGAGTTCATTATTTTCCTTTTTTTTATTATTTTACAGCAGAAAGAATATAAAGCATTCAGAAAACATCTTCCATATTTTAAGGGCAATTCAAAATGTTTTGCATGGCTTCAGCAGCTGATATCTCTTTTTTAAGATTTTTAAACATACCCATTGAGTCAGTGACGCTTGTACATGCACAATTACAAAAATAAAACTTACAAACAAGAGAAGGGAAGAAAGAGGAAAGCAAAACACATTAGGAGAACCAAGAGGAGATGAGAGTTTTGAGGGTTGGGAGAGGAGAAAAACTGGATCACAGAACAGGGAAAGACAGAGAGAAAGACAGCTATAGAGGAGAGGAAAAGAGATCTAACACTAGTTCACATGCAAAGTGCCGAGGACCCCTAACTTTCTATCAAAGCAGGGCCCTTTTTTTCTTCTCTGTTTGGAATTGATGAAAACGTGCAGTTCGGTAAAGGGTGCCGTACAATTGCTGTCCATAAACTACTGAATGCTTGTCTTGCAATACTGGCATTTGCATAAGAGTATGTCGACTACATGGGTCCAGTCATGTGAAACTTTGGCTAGGCCAATAGGTCTTTGTTAAACAGCTCTTTATTGCTCTGTGTCGACGAGTGGACTTCACCGTAAACCCGCCTCTGTTCTGCCGTCCTGACGCGCCTACCTTTGGGTGCTTCAGAAAAAGAAGAGGAGGAAAGGCAGATTCTCAGGTCATTTCGCAGAACGTCTCAAAACCGATGACGATGTAGCGCCCGTCAGCTAGACCTTTCGTCCCACTCATAAATGGCAGTAAAAATAAGATTTGTTGGTGCAATTTTCATAGAACTATGCCCTTAATCTTAAATACCCTCTACCCAGTGCCACTTAGATAAATGAAAGGCCTAAGGAAGCGGCCAGAATTATACCATGATTTGACGGGTTTCCATGAGAGAAGGTATAATCATTTATACTAACGAGCTGTATAAAGTCGACTCTGTTCCAGGGCTCCAGTAGGGTCTGTCGTGTTCGAGGTTACCGAGAGGAAATGGACCATCTGTTATGTGAATTCATCTGAAAGACTTTAGCATCCCCACAGTGAACCTGTCAGCCCCGTGACATTTTTCACTTTTACCAGAAAGCACCACTGAAGGTTGTCCTGCCTGTTTTAGCTCCCTCTGATGTGAAACACAGGCCCCGCTCCATTTCCTCCTCCCCCGTTTTGGCACCCTGAGTAAAATACAGAAGGGAGGTAAACCCACGCTCTACGCCGCCGCCACCACTCACACGTCTGGTTGTGTGCCGTTTCAGTGCCTTACACATACGGTTGATTGTGTTCCTTCAGCAAACCTTCATTAAGTTTAATTGAAACTGGTCCTAACCTAAATGAATAACACCAAGCAAATCAAATTTAGAACGGAGAGTCACAGCTTGCCTGCTTTGATTTCGGTCTTCATGCTTTTTAATGAAAACAACAGTGTTGCTGCTGAATACCGGCTGAATTTGTAGGTTTGCCGAGTTTTTGACACAGCAAACGTGTTCTTCCTCGTGGTGCAGAGCAGCATGTCTTTAACAAGTCTATTCGACTACCAATTCAAAGAAAATAAGCATGCTATAGGTGCAGCTCTGTCACCCCGTTAGCTATTTTACCCATGCAAGCATAAGAAATCCTTCTCCTTTTATTTTTATTTATTTTTTAGCCTAGAGTATGAGTGCGAGGCAACAAACCCCAGTAGTGGCATTTTTAAACAACAAGCTGTCCCGGTAGAAAATGGAAGGGGCGGGAAAATAAAGAGCAATGCCGGAATGCTGAAAGGCCAGCGTGCTCGACCTGGTGTCGCCGCGGCTCTGGTGAGCGTAATGGTACGGTGGGTGACGATGATGCGGCGTCATGCAGAGGACGCACACCACTCCCTCGAGGTCAGGTAGACGGAAATCATTCTGGATTGGTGTTAGATGAGGACATGAATAGGCACTTTCTATACATCAACACAACAAATAAATAAATAAATAAATAAAAACAACCAATCGGTCAGAAATCAGAAAAATACCCATTATCCTAATGATGATAAAGAAATAAAAACCAAAACATTTTTAAGTGGCACTTGGCTGAATGTTCACATGTTTGGATACTTTCTGGTAGGAATAATCGACAAGAATTAGACAGCAGCCAATAGGCACCTAGAACAAATCGGCTGTTATTCTCTCTTAATCTAAACGTACAATACTATTATCACATTATCCAGTGTTCGGTACACATGTTAGGCTCTGTAAGTGGCACAAGTGCAGAGAGCTACACACTAAAGACTACAGTCATTTCAGCTCACCGAGTCTTCCTTACTGGAGACACACAACGACATCTCAAACGAGCATTCGACTGCATGACGCAGACGCACTGTGATTAGCTCCTGTTTTAACGCAGACGTTTCTCTCTTTTTTGTTCTTTTGGCATAAGATACAAGACGTGGTTGTCTGAATCTTGACTGTTACACCATGTTACCACCGGTTCCACAACATTCAATAGAACGGAAATCACTCAGAGCTAGGCGCCGCGCGCTTCACATCAAAAAAGACGAGATCCATTGGTTCCAGTGACAGAGAGGAATTACACAGACTGCTTTACAGAAATCCAATCAGCAAGGCAATCATTTACAATCTTTAGGTTCAGAAACGATACCTTGACATTTCAATCACATTCCATTTCCATAAAACCAAACAACTTTGACATGGTTTTGATGAATAAATGTCCTACGCATGGATGATGGAGACACGATCAGCTGTCTGCTGGAGTCCCTCTGCGACCCTTTTTTACCTTTTAGTCTGGGCGATTCTGACTTTACGGTTTTCGGTGCTGATGTGTATGAAGTCACTGTATGATTATCTATTCTGCAACAGAATGAACCTAATTATCTTCTTGAGCTCTACAGCTATCACACATCTTGGCACCATTGGCAAAAGTTTCTTGGGAGCCCAAAAGAAACAAATAATAAAAAAGGAACATAACTATAGTGGTTTTAAGATAAGTTTGAAGACCTCTCCTAACACTAAATACATTATTTTTAAACTTTTTCATATGTATTAATATCATGCTTTAGCAAAATGTTCATCTCCGGAACAATCAAAATAAAGTGAAATACTCTAATAGTGAAATATTTTCATTTTACATAGCATAGCCACTACTGCTTTTGTTGTTTGTTTTTATTTCCCTCTCTTTTGACTGTTCATACTTTTCATGCAAGTAGCTCGTTTTAATCCCAGATATTTACACTATTTACAAACAATACAACCTTACATTTTCAGCATTCAAACAAAACTATACAAATATTCTGTTTTTGTCTTGATCCTGTTTTGACCCATTTTTAATGAATAAAATAATATATTTCTAAAATACAATCCCGTAAGGAGCACGTGTTTTCCTATTCATTTTTCTTCCTACACTTGCAGCCTTCATTATTTACAGAAATCACTCAATTGTCAAAAATACGGATTTGTCAAACCCCTATTTTGGGACAAGCTTAGGGACGCCGCAAAGAATCTCTAAGACGTCAAGGCAATGTATGTGATCTTCCCTTCGAAAGCCTCATAGACTCTGAAGTTCGTTTAAAAAGAACAGTAACAAACCTGCATGACCAAAACCAATAAAACACCAAATAAAAGGGAAACGAGGGGAGTTCTCTTCTCATGTCAGGTCTCAGGGGGGCGATTCATGAAACAAGCTAAACAGAAATGGTGACAGCTTTCCCACAGAACGAACAGAGGCTTGAACGAAGGAGAACGTGGATGAGTGGGCCACTGAAGTGGGATGGAAATGAAAACCAGAGGAGAGGCTGAAAGACTAGGCCATAAGCACACAAGCAAAGACATTTCTTCCAAAGAAGTCATGCATTTTTTTTCTTGGTAGGATTTAACAACATATAGCCTGAAGATACAGATCACCAATACATTGACAATGGAAGAGGTACATTGGACAATATGAAACAAATTCAAGTAGTAAAGTGACAATTTATATATATATATTTATACGATAAAGCATAGAGTTTTTTTCTTTTATAAGAAATGTTAAAACAGAAAAATTTCATCCCCAATTTGCTTCTGCGTGTTTGAACTCCACTACATTCATTAGTAGCTCTCCCCACGAGGGCAGCCTGGCGGGGTAGAGCATGACAGGACGGCTTAGTTAAGCTAATTGAAATATTGTTTAATTAACATCAGTGGGTTGAAGTGGACAGGCGGGGTATCGACACATTTGGTTTTAAAAAATCCATCTTTGAATGAACCCATTAAAAAAGAAACCATAGAAAACAAAAGGAGCCCAGAGTGTTTCTGCATGGTCTCTCTTTTCCACAGTCACGCAGCACGAAGTCCTCAGACCACCTGTCCTGCTTCGTCGTCCTTCTCTGTCTGAAACAATCCATGGAAAAGTGCAAAAAATACCACCACGGAAATGTTCTGCACCCTCCTCCCCCACACACCCTTGTTGTTGTAGGTTATAGGCCTGTGGCTGATGCCCTTCAGCCAAAATCAAGTCAGTGGAAACAGAAGATGTGTGGAAAAAAAAACCCGTTGTTGTAGGTGTTTTAGTAGCTGAACCAGTAACACTGCTGTAGTGGTAATGATAGCAGTGCTTGCATTGATGTTTTTATTTTCTTTTTTGTTCTGTTCTCTTGTAAAATCTCTCAGAAACAAACAAAAACAAAGACAGGAATCAGGAAAGTGATGTCACATTGGGAGGGTGCTCCTCTGAGGGGTCTCATGTTCCCTGGCCCTTTTCAATTCTTTCACCCTGGAACACAGCAACACAACAGAGACCCATCAGTGCAACATGCAAAAGGCACAGGTGCACATATACAGTAGGCCTAAAGCACTGGACCACGTTGTTCAGCAAAAAACAAACAAATACTTCAAGTCGGCTCGTCTGGAAATACTCCTCACCTGTGAAAAGAAAAACTCTTTAGAGTTGAAGCCAAACAGAGATTAAAACTTTACGGTTAGAGGATTACTGCTGGAACGATCACACTTTTAAATGTTCTTATGAAAATAAATAACTAAATAAACAACGCCAAATAACATGGCGTGTAAGGAGAAAAGAGAATTAATATTATTTGTTTTTGTTTTCCACTTTTGTGAATAAAGTCAAAATGTCAAAATGAATAAATAAATAAATAAATAAATAAATAAATAAAAAGACAAAATGTTGAGAATAAAGTCCAAAACGGGAGGTTATTTTAAGACTAGCCAGGGGAAACCAATGAGGATTCTGGGTGAGTGTTCAGTAAGCAAACTAAAAAAATAACGTGAGGCCTTTTATTAAATCAGTCTGAGACGTTATTCCTGCAGCTGCATCAACAGCAAAGCTCACAGAACCTCCTTCAGTCCTTCCAGTAAGAGTCCGAATAAAACATTAAACCTCAAAATCCCTAAATTCATTATTCTGGTTCTGTTTTTCACAGTGTACATCAACTCACCACAGCTCATCAGCACAAGGCATTACGGGTATCAACCCTCGGTTTTTTATTCTCCTCACAACATCATCATTGTATTAATAATAACATGGAGGATATGGAACATCTTTGTTACATTTATTAGAGTTTTGGTCTTTTCCCAGCATTTTGACTTTAACCCCAGCGGTGGGTAAAAATAATAAATATCTTCCTTTTCTTTAATTTTTCTTCAGTGACTCTAATAGGTTGTCATAAAAATCATCTTCACCCTAAAAATAAATGAGAAAGAATCCATCATCATCATCATCAAACCTGCCTGGTTTACACTCCAGAGACGGCAAAGTTTCTGTTTAAAGGACAGATTATGCCACACAGTGTGTGTGTGTGTGTGTGTGTGTGTGTGTGTGTGTGTGTGCGTGTGCTGTTTAAACCATCTCTTGTGGTAGGTGGTGGGAAACCCTGGTTCAACATAAAAACCAGGAGTCTGCTGTCGTGGTTGTCTACCCTTCATCAGTGCAGCACACAAACCTGTCACATGAGGTGGGAACACAGTCACATGCGTCTTAAAAACAACAACCTGCTGCAAGATCACAGCAAGATGTGCTGCGTGTTAATGCTAACCGCCTTTCTTACTCAGGTGTTTCCCCCTCTGGTGACTAGAAGAGTGCATCACTTTCAGTGGCTTCACTAAGTATCAGTGAGGAGAGGTTGGAGGAGTTGAGTTCCCCTCAGTCTGCTGAGTGGCTTGAAACAGAGCATACAGCCAGCCAAAGAGACAGCTACTCGAGAAACAGCCGGCTCAGAGCATGCCTACGAGTAGAAGAGCAAGGCCCGTAGTTGTCAGCACTTGAACATGCAGCGAGATAAAAAAACAGAGTTGAGATAAAAAGCCTCGCGGACTCCCAGGTTTGCTAACCACACAAAGTTGAAAAATAACTGAAATCAAAATAAAAACACAAGATGAGCAAGGTGTAACTTTTGTGGAGAGAAAAAAGACAGGATAAATAGAGTCAGAGACGTTGTGCTGCGGTGATATTTGTCATTCATGAGCATTTTGTTTGTTTCAGGACGTTTCTGCTCTAAATCTGAGCTTCTCAGTCCGCCCGTGTCTCCAGTCGGCAGCCTTCATGCAAGCAGGCATCAAGCAACAGTGATGGAAGATGAGGAGGGAGGGGATGGGGTGGGGAGGTGGGAGAAAGAGAAAGAGCAGGAGAGAAAATGAGAAAAGGAGGAAGAGATTGCCAAGGCCAAGACTTCAGGAGGAGATTATTGTTTCATTAAAGAGTGAGAGAAAAGCGCAGGAAGGATTAGAGGAGAGGGAGGCGTCCAGAATAAACAGGTAGAGGAGATAAAGAGGAGGAGGAGGAGGGGGGAGGCACGAACTGAGTTGCTGAGGCTGCACTCACCCGCTTGAACAGTCTATGGTCCATCAAGGGGCTTGGCATAAACAGCAAAACAACACCAGACAGCTATTAACACACAGTGGGCACTGTGAGGGAGGGGGAGGGGCGAGGACAGGTGGGGAGGGAGGTGGAGCTTAAGGGTCGGGGGTATTTCTAACCACGAGTTGTGTAAAATAAATAAATGCACATCAAACACCTCACATGGAAAAAAGAGATGGATTCAGTTACTACTAGTACAGCATCCATCTACGAAATCACTTAAATATCAGAAGAAACAACATGTGCTCACCTGATTTTATGCAGACTTGCTTATTTTATGTTTGTCATTTAGTTTCTGCTACTTTAGTAGATTTTTACTGAAGCTTTAGAAACTGCACCACTAAACAGCGTTTAACTCATTCACCGCCAATGACGACTAAAGTCGTCATTTGCATTTTTTTTACTGTTAGAGCATCGGAACGAGCCCCCGCGCTGAGAGAACCAACATCTCAGCCCTGCAGCCGATCTTCATCCGCATACGTCACAGATCACATGATCAGGAAGCAACACATCCACGTGTTTGGAGATCGTTTTGGGCCGTTCCTGTAAAAAAAGTGAGGCGCGAACCGGAAAAGCGTCTGCCGATCACAATTCGACAACGGATTATGAAAGAACGGATAACGCTCGAAACACGCGGCTTCTTCCTGATGTAAGAGGTGAGTCTCCTCCTTGTTTTGGTTGTTTTGGCGTCGACATCACGCTAGCGCACAACGTTCTGTCACTCTTAAAAAAACAGTAAAAACGGTGAGAAACGCTGGCAGCGAATGAGTTAAATGCAAACGCTTTAAATGTCGACACCTGCACCTGACAACAGGAGAGAATGCTTGTATGAGGATCGCTGTAAAGACTCTGACACAAGTCAGTGACTCGATGCAACCTGCTGGGTTTCGTATACAGGAAACTTTTTACTGACTGGCTTCATGACCTGACCTGTACTGGAATGTTTACTGTGAAGTGCCTTGAGACGACTCTTGTCGTGATTTGGTGCCACATAAATAAACTTGAATTGAATTCTTTCTGACATCAACAATCATCACATGTAAACTTTTAACAGGTATGTAAAATCATTGTTTTAAGCTGCTCTTTGTAACACTGTTGATACGCTTTAAATGCATTTACAACGGTTTTCTTTGGTGTAACTCCTGGACACGGACGTCTCTGCGGAAACGTTTTGTTAGATGCAGCGGATTTCATGCTCCCAGCATTACTGCATAGACACATTTGAATTAACGCAGCTTCAAACCAACAAAAAACGACTAAATGCAGGAGCAGAACAGAGACGTTCAAGCTAAAAATACCCCAAACCATCCACTAGTGTCTGGCTGCAGTACAAGCTTCAAGCGCCGCCCCTTTACGTGAAAAATTGGGAGTTTATGAAATCAGACTGGTGTGTGGTGACTCCATTTGTTTTGCCATTGACGCTGCTAGTTAAAAAAAACCTACAATATTTATTTATAATCTAATATTTGATGCTTTAAAGACTCCATGTTTGCCTGCAGCTGAGCAGACAGGACTTTCAGCCCCAGGTGCACAAACTCTGGCTACAAAAACACAACATGGCAACACCTGTCTGCCAGATAGTTTCATCTGACTTTTGCACAATAAAACTGGATTGAGATACTTCTTCTCTCTTTTTCTGTGTCAATCATCTCAACAAAGAAAATCACACGTTGTTGCACATTGCCTGGCCAAAGCAAAGTCATCACCTGGATTTAACTAAGCAAACAGGTAGGGGCCTCCTCTTGGATAATTACTGCATGGGCAGTTATATTTCAGCTGCAACAAGTTACCTCAACTGGTGCAATGAGCTGCTTCTCACATGTGGAAACACACATCTGGTGGTCGCGGAAAAGATGCAAGTCTGAGAAGGGTCAGATCATTGGCACGCATAAAGCGGAGAAAACGTCTAAGGAGATTACAGAAACGACTAAACGTGGGTTGAGAACTGTCCAACGCATTATTAAAAACTGGAAGGATAGTGGGAACCCATCGTCTTCGAGGAAGAAATGTGGCAGGAAAGAAATCCTGATCGGCAATCAAATAAAAGATTAACAACAGTAGAACTCAGGGCGACGATTAATAGTGAAAGTCAGAGCATTTCCACACGCACAATGAAAAGGGAACTGAAGGGATTGGGAATAAACAGCTGTGTAGCTGTAAGAAAACCACTAATCAGTGAGGTAAACTGGAACAAAAGGCTTCAGGTTGTTAGGGAGCATAACAACTGGACTCTGGAGCAATGGAGGAAGGTCATGTGATCTGATGAGTCCAGATGGACCCTGTTCCAGAGTGATGGTGCATCAGGGTGAGAAGAGAGGCCGATGAAGTGATGCACCCATCATGCCTAGTGCCTACTGTACAAGCCTGTGGGGGCAGTGCCATGATCTGGGGCTGCTGCAGTTGGTCAGGTCTAGGTTCAGCAACAGGATGTGGTCCAAGATGACCGGGTTATTCCATCTTCCCTGATGGAACAGGCATATTCCAAGATGACAATGCCAGGATTCTTCTGGCTCAAATAGTGAAAGAGCATGAGTCATCCTTTTCACGCACCACAGAGTCCAGACCTTAACTCCATTGAGAATCTTTGGGATGTGCTGGAGAAGGCTGTGTGCAGCGGTCCGACTCTACCATCATCAATGCAAGACCTTGGCGAAACATTAATGCAACACTGGACGGCGATAAAGCTGGCGACGTTGCAGAAGCTTATCGAAACAACGCCACGGCAAATCTGTGCCGTAATGAAAGCTAAAGGTGGTCCGAACAAACATCAGACCTGTTTTGGGTGGCGACTTTAATTTCGGCCGGGCAGTGCGGTTATCTGACCCGTTTCATCGTTATTGGGAATGCTTCAACTTGCATCTATTTAATCAGTTTCCACCCGTGACACGCAGCCTCCTTTCTATCAGAAACACTTCTGTGTCTTTCGAGCCACGGTAACAGCTCGACTGACCTTGAGGAAGGTGTTTGTGGGGCCCTGTGTGAACACAAGTGTTGCAGGACTGGTCCAGGCAAAGTCAGTTCTACAGGATCAAACGTTCTGTTCTAATTTAATGAGAGGCAGTGATATTTGAAACCTGGTGAGAATTAAAGGGACAATACGCATGAGTGAGCATGTCACAGTTGAGTCCACTAGATCAGGGGTTCCCAAATTGGGGGTCGGGACCCCCAAGGGGGGTCCCCACAAAATTACACGGGGTCCCCACACTTTTGTCTTTGCTGAGATTGTGAGGTTAGCGAGAATTTATTTGTAAAAATTACATTTATAAACTCCCAATAACACACCCTACAGTATAATCAGAACTCCATATATAATTTATAACTGTGTGTCTGTATAAAGATGGTAAATGATCACATTTAACGTGTGTACGCATGCAGGAGTTGGGGCTAGGGGTCCTGGCTTGTCTTGGACATGAGCAAGGGGGTCCTCAAAAAAAGAAATTGGGAAGCCCTGCACTAGATGATGGAACATACTTTAGGCCTTTGAGGAAACGTTAGCCTATAAAGCTAGGACGTGTTGGCGCCGGAGGCTTACCTGTGACGACAGCGTCGTAGAAACCTCATAATCTTTCTGGCTGCCTGATCCTGCCTCTTTGAGAGCAGACTACCTCTGTTAAAAAGAAAACGCATCAGAATTAGCTCAGTGAAAATGTGATTTGTTACCATGAAGCACAATATGCTTAATAAACCAAGGGGGAGCATCAATCATCTCTCAAACGTTTTTTTCCACTAATGATTTTGTTGACGAATGACTCGACGTGTCCACCCTTCATCAGCCTGTCAGACAGGTCCAGTAATTCACCTGTCGTTGTGCGGTTACGCGGAGTGATGAAGTGGTTTCTTTAGTATCCTACTGCATACGGCAGGACGAACGTGTCGGTTTGTTTGGTGCAAATCACGCGTGCGTACCTCAGTTTGTGCTGCACCAGGGCAGCAGCGGCGCCGCGCTGATGAGGCCTCAGCCTGCCGAGCTCCCTGTAGCTGCGGTAGTATTGCTGAATGAGCACGGCCGCCCTCCTGCTCTGCTGGAACTTCTTCTGTTCGTGGTAGCTGCGGAATTTACTCTGGATAAGGATGGCGGCCTGCGTCATCTTCTTATAAAGTGCATACTGCAGACGAGAATGAAACGACATGTCACGTTTGAGCTCAGATAAATAGCCCAGAGGTGCTGCCGGCTCGTGCTGAACAGTACAAGTTACCTTCAAGGCTATCCATGTTAGCTTGTAAATAGGAAAGGGGGAACATTTTGAATGATGCCACGAAAGCGGTCAGATGAATGAATGGCTCAAACGTGCTCCATGGAGCATACCTGTTTGTATTTCTTGTAGCAGCGTTGTATGACAGCAGCAGCCACTTCCTGTTGCTCTCGGAGCGGCCGCCCCTGTTGGACAGTAAATTGGAACAGGTAAGAGGTTACAGCAGAACCTTCTTGTTGCCACAAAGGATATTAGTGGGTTGCTGAGGTGTAGTGGAGGCTAGAACAGAAATCCACCCTGGATAAAGACCACGCCTTGTGGACCAAGTGTGGAGAGAGCAAGCTGCTGCCCAACAGAGAACCGCCACAGTATCGGCTGGTAGATGGGCACAAAACACAACTGTGAACGACAGTGAACAGTTTGTCATGTAAAGAAGCTCATTGAAGATATCAGAAGGGTGGGAGGGGAGTCTGGGGATGAGGTCGGGCAGGGCGGTGTGTGAAGAGCTAGTTAGATACAGGCAGAAGCAGGTGCCATACCCCCAACTGAGAAGGAGACAAAGACAGGGGGGGGGGGGGGGGGCATGGCAGCTTAGTAACTGCAGGTACACAGGGACAGCAAGGCCATGCTCTGCTCAAGCCACCTTCCCATGCTAGCACCACAGGGACATTTTATCCGCTTTCCTCTTAATGTTGTGTGAGAAAAACAGAGTGAGACAAGTAGAAAGACCGGAATGTGTATTCAGTATAACCATGATAAGAAGCAGTACATGACAAGACAAACGACGTAGAAACAAATGCTGAACTTTACTGGAAACATTCAAATTCCACAGCTTGATCCCTTAAAAATGGGTCTAATTTGATTAATCCTAAAGCCGTAGCTCCCTTAAAGTGGACTACAGGACAGACATCTCATCGGACCTGCACACCGGGCTTGTACCTTGTACTTGCGGAAGGCAGTTTGGACCAGACGGGCAGCCTCGTATAGCTCTCTCTGCTCTGGGTCTGACAGAGTCAGCTGGGCCAGCTCTCGCTCCACCTTGCTGTTGGAGGCATTGATGAACTCACTCCAGTCAACTAGAGAAGGAACTGCTGACCTTTCCAGGGTTCCCTCTCTGAGAGGAGACCGTCCAGGGCTCAGGCCAGGGTGAGATGATGGCGTCAGGGGCTCGTTGTACAGAGACCTGCGAAATAAATACACGGATGCGTTGATCATCACAATAAACATGTTCACCAGTGATGTTAGAAGCTTGCAACAGATTCATTTGGTGCACCATGACCTTGTGTACATTTTAATTTCGAAGCAGTTTTGAGAAAATAAAAACAACCCCCTAAAAGGTGATTTTCAAAAATTGCTACGAGTGACAATAAATCTGTCGAGTTTACAGATGCTGAGCCAAAATTTAGAACGTGTGAGATCTTGCATAATGGTTTCTTTGACCAAAACAGCGATAACTCCATACAAGCATCTGATGATCTCAGCTCAAAGCTCTGGCATGAAAGGCGACTGGTATGTATTCCCTTTAAAACCTGCAGGGCTTTTCATTTGTTTAGCTTTTATTTATTCATTTCACTTTAAAGCAAGAATGCATTTAAGTCGTGCATTCGCTGTTCCATGGGTCTTCTTACCGAAGGTGAATGATGCTAGGCAGCTGTTCTACATCTCCCAAATAGTTGGCCAGCCAGTTCATTGTTGTGCCGACCCCCGATGTCTCTAAGGGCACGGAGTCTGCGGCGGTGAAGGTCTCCCTTTTGATCCTCTCAGGAGTGGCTTCGATGATGTGCTCTGCCAGAGTCATCATATTCACCTGTTGGTTTGGACAAAAGCAAACTTCACCAAGGCATCACCTCACTTTGTACATCCTCGTTAGTGTGTCATCTCCACACGCCTACTGCTGGTTTAATGGGTTGGCACGGAGACAAGCGTGCTGCTACAGGCTACAGTTCAGCAGTTAAGCCTGTTTCACACAGAGTGTGGTACGGAGGCAGCAGAGCCGTGTCCAGGACTTTTAAAATGGGGTGGCCCATGTGGGGCACTTGTTTATTCATGGGTGGCACCAATGGTTATGCTTATTTATTTATTTACGCAAATCGTTTATTTATTTATTTACTTTCTGGTGAATTTTTGAGTTTCATATTGCACAATCGCCATTTTTTTTCCCCCTCTTCATCTTCTACTTTTGTGGTGGTTAGCAAGTCACTTCTTATGTCATTACTGCCACCAACTGGAGTTGAGTGGGACTGTAAATACTATGTATGTGAATATGAAAACATATTAAATAATATTAATACTACATACCTGGGCTAGAAAAAAAGGTGAAAGGTGCATGCAACCACACACTATTTTGGAGTTTACAACCCAAGCCTTTTGTCGACAATGTAAAGTCAATTTAAACTGGAACTTAGTGGGGTGGCACCTGGGGTGGCCAATCAGATTCCAAGGGTGGCATGTGCTACCCCAGGCCACTCCCTGGACACGCCCCTGGGAGGCGGTCCAGTTTCCGCACGGCTTCCGGACAAACAAACGTCCACACTGACTGCCGTTTGTGCACCCTCGTCTGCAAAAAACCTGCTCCCACGAGCACCAAATGATTCAAAATGTGACACAATATGATCAAAAATAAACCAGTAAAAATCCTGTGAACTCCTACATTATGAGCGGATATCCTCGTCATTAAAAAAAAAACACAAAAATAATGCCACGTTAGTTTTATTTAGAACTACACCAGAAGTACTTGACTGAAACATCTCACTTCCTGTCTGGCTAAGCTAATTTCTTTAATTTTGTGACAAATCACACGTGGCGTCTTTCCAAACTTTTCGCAGCTCCGCACCACATCTCAGCCGGTGTGAATGCTCTGGTGGACTTCACGATCTTTGTGGGAGCTGCATGGAAACCAGAACACATTCGTTCTGCTTTCTGTGTGAAACAGGCTTTAGACTGATACGGATGCCTGGAAGATCAATACGGGGAGTTTATTATGCAGTGATGGTCATCGACAGAGTGGCAGGTTGGTTTGTTGTGTACTGCCTACCCACTGCAGGAGGTGGAGACTAGAGAAAGTGCATAAATCCCTGTAACACCCTGGCATTGACAGCTACCATCTCTCACATGAATAAATCCACTTTTTATCATCTTTCAGAAAATATATTTAGATACTTCATCAGAACAGGAGCTAAGCGGTAAGTAGCTGCCAGATTAATGTTTAAAATGCTTTTTCAGCGGGTACTAGTCACAAGCTTCTGCTGTCAGGCTCACCTGCAGGTCATCCATCTGTGTGAGACAGTCCTGGTTCTCCAGATCTTCTCGGTATGACAGCAATTCTGAATCAGCCATCTCTCTGTCCGCCATTACCAGCATGCCTAGCTGTTCCCGCTGCCGCAATCGGTTGACTAGCTTCTCTTTTGCTAGACTGCTGCTCCCACAGATCCCTAGTGCCTTCCTGCCCAAGTTGCAGGAGAAATTCTCTCTGGAGCTCCATCTGCTTGTTCCAGTACCACCTCCTGCAGACAGGCCTTTGTCTGAGCTCAGGCCTTCCGGGGACATGCTCTTCGTGCTGGCGGACAGCTTGTGGAGTTGTTGCTGTTCCAGGCTCAGGGGAACAGACATGGCCTTGTCAGGTCGCGTCTGGAACAGTTCTGGGTTAGGTTTGTGTTTTTTAGCTAGTGGGAGGTCCCGTTGGCACTCACTGCTGTAGCAGTTAGAGGGCTCCGATCTAGGTCTTCTAAGGTCTGGAAAAAAAAGCAACAGAGTTTGCTGAACAATACACACAAAAAAAGAGCGTAAACATGCCTGAAAGGACCAGAAATGACCAAAATGTTCTAGTTAACGACTTTTCCTCAGTTGAACTGACCTGGGTTGAGGCTGGTGGTGCTGGATGTAGTTGTTGTGTTGGCAGGTCCTCCTTTCTTGCCACCGGGTGCTACTGTGTTCTCATTAGCCCAGCTGACCATCCAGCTGTCTGCGGTGGGTGCGTCTGGAGCTGGGGAAAAAGACATGCGACTCGTGGGAGGTAAAGCAGCAGGAGGCTGCTGCTCCTCTCTCTGCAGCTGCTCCAGACACTCAGCCAGTTTGGTGTGCCCCCGTGAGCGTGCAATTGACAAGGGCAGGCGACCCAAGGAATCCGGGATCGCTAGAGCACGTCTGTCCCATTTATACAGAACCACAGCTGCCTCCAGGTGACCAAGTGCACATGCCCACATCTGGATGGAAAACAGGCAGAAACTTTAGAAAACAATGACTCGGCTATTTCTGCTCACAGTGCCAAAGGTTAGCATCAGTTTCTTACCAGCGGAGTGCAGGAGAAGTGGTCCACATTCAGAGGGTCTACTTCTAACTCCAAATCAATACTGTCAGCATGTTTAGTGCTGGATAAGAGAGGAAAAACAATGAGCTCCTCTGTAATATCGAGTGTTATACTCCTGTCCTAAACCACAGCACCATTACACAGGCCATGGGTTATTTCATTCTCACCGCCATTTGATGAGTGTCTGAATGAGGGTGGCATAGCCCTGGCCAGCAGCCAGATGAAGGAGGGTCATCCCTCTGAAGGTCTTTGAGTGGATTAAATGTTTGGACTTGGCCCAGCAAGCTCTGCTCATCATCTTCTCGCAGACCACCACAACACGACTCTCGAAGGAGCTGCTGGCCTGCGTCTGGCCGGGTACACACTTAAAGACGAAGGAAGAAGAAACAGGTTGTTATTGTTTGCTCATTAGCAACAACTGACAGAAATTCTGTATTTTTGTCAATCAGCAACAGAAAGTAAAGCAGGCACGCAGAAACCTGTGACTGGCTGTTGTTGCCTCCTCCCCCACCTCCTCCACTGCCTCCTCCACCTCCTCCACCCCCTCCTCCTCCCCCTGCTCCGCCACTCCCTGCACTGCTCGACTGCTGGTGGCTGGCCATCTCTGCCATCCTTCTCTCCATCTGCTCCAAGCGCTCCAGGATAGACATTCTGAACTGGTTATCTGGGTTGGTAGTGGGACACAGAAGAACACATGAGTGCACAAGCAGCATCAGCTGTAGAAACCGTGCCAGTTCCAGCACAAACAACCGCAAATCCTGACGACAAACGAGCACAGAGCGTGCACCTCTATCTGCAGCAGGATGTTTCTCTGAGGAGATGTCAGACTGGCGCAGTCACTTGGGGGCTTAATGTCAAGAGGAATACAATCCGCAAGTCTCTTTTTGAGACACATCAAATCAGAACAACATATACTTCTTGTTGTAACACAGGAAGGATCATTTAATCAGTTATTCGTCAAGCAGAAAGCCTTGGCCGGCTGATTAGGAACAACCTGTTTGGAAAGGGCTGACAGAAAATGGTGAAACTAATGCTCATACACCTACAGCGCTGAATACTTGATAATCCGGCTCATCAAGTTTAACAGAGGTACACTCAACACATATAATTAAAAGCTTTTAAAGGAACCTCTGACCATTTACTAATCGGAAGGTTGCAGGTTCGATCCCGGCTCTGGACAGAGAATTCTGCTGTTGTGTCCTTGGGCAAGACACTTAACCCACCTTGCCTGCTGCTGGTGGTGGTCAGAGGGACCGGTGGCGCCTGTGCTCGGCAGCCTCGCCTCTGTCAGTGTGCCCCAGGGCAGCTGTGGCTACATCGTAGCTCATCACCATCAGTGTGTGAATGAGTGTGTGAATGGATGAATGATGCACTGTAGTGTAAAGCGCTTTGGAGTCCTTACTCTGAGAGGCACCATACAAGTGCGGGTCATTTATCATTTACTACGTGGAAAGGACATATTAATCAAGACAAAACATCAACACTGCACAAAAAAGCGAAAGATCTTAAAAACATTTCCCTGTCATTAAAATGAATGTGTTCATAGCCAGCATAAAGGTTCTGAAGACTAAAATCATGGTAAATCTGCTAAAAGTCACTTTACTGATGCTTCTAATACATTTACAGTGGTCTCTAGTAGGAATTAATGCCGTGTAAGTCTTTCTCTGGGGAAAAAGGCTCCGGTGCGCTTGAGGACGTAGACGTCAGCTGGAGTACGTAAGTAAGTAAGTAAAAGTGTATTTATAGAGCGCCTTTCACAGATATAAATCACAAAGCGCTGTACAACATGATAAAGATCAGGGCAAATACCTCTAACCAATAAAAACATCAGAAAAACAATAGCAGTGATAAACGTAGAAAATAAAATCAGGAGTATAAACAAAGTGAAGGCGTGAACCCGAACAAAGCCATCATTCTGAAACATTTAGGGAGGGAACGCCTGGATGAAAAGGTGAGTTTTTAGATGATTTTTAAAGACCTCTACAGTGTTAGAGAGACGGAGATTTGAAGGTAGACTGTTCCAAAGTCTGGGGGCAATAGTCTGAAAGGCCCTGTTCCCTTTGGTTTTCAGTCTGGTTTGAGGAACAACCAGGAGGTTTTCAGATGTGGATCTAAGGTTCCGAGAGGTGGTGTGTGGGGATAAAAGCTCAGATAGGTAGCTTGGAGCCTGGTTGTTAAGAGCTCTGTAGGTCAGGACTAAAACTTTAAACTGAATTCTATATTCTACCGGGAGCCAGTGGAGGGACTGTAAACCTGGAGCGATGTGAGCTCGTCTGCTGGATTTGGTTAGGAGTCTGGCTGCTGCATTTTGGATGGCCTGAAGGCGTGAGAGGGAGGTTTTGCTGAGACCAGTAAAAAGAGCGTTACAGTAGTCTAAGCGTGATGTCACAAAGGCATGGATGATTTTTTCCAGATCTGCAGTAGAAACCAGTTTACGGACTTTTGAAATGTTTCTCATTTGAAAGAAACAAGAGCGGGAGATGGTTTTGACGTGTGAGTCTAAACTTAAAACTGGATCAAAAATAACTCCCAGGTTCCTAATGTTGGCCTTGGCTGATGGGCAAAAAGAGGCAATTTCTTGCTCGATTTTTGGCTGAGTTTCCGGGGGTGCAGCGATCAGGGTCTCTGTCTTGTTAGCATTGAGGACAAGAAAGTTGCTGGACAGCCAGTTACTGATCTGGGTCAGGCAGAGTACAAGTGTGGCCAGCCTGTCCAACTGGTGTGGCATAAAGGACATATAGAGCTGAATATCATCAGCGTAGATGTGGTAGGAGATGTCTGGGAAAGACTGAATGATGCCAGCTAGGGGAAGAATATAGAATGTGAATAGTAGAGGCCCTAGAACTGAACCTTGTGGGACCCCGCATGTTAGAGAGGCAGTATCTGAAGAGAAGGTTTCGGACTTCACTGTGAATGTTCTGTTGGTGAGATAAGAAGAGAGCCAGTCTAGAGCAGAACCTGAAATCCCAGCCAGGGCCTTTAACCTGTTTAGTAGAACGTTGTGGTCTACGGTGTCAAAAGCTGCACTGAGGTCTAGCAGGACCATGACAGAGCATTTCCCTGCATCAGCAGCCATTAGGAGGTCATTATGCACCCTTACTAGAGCAGTCTCAGTTGAGTGCTGCTTCAGAAAGCCAGACTGGAAGGGGTCAGAGATCTTTGAC